TTTGTGAAACTGAATTGGCTAATATGGTAAGATATGTGTAATGCAATTCAGGCCACCGCCTTCTGTGTCAATTCCTGTCAGCTACACATAGGTTTGGGTAGGAAAAAGGCTTAGGAGCAGTCAACTGAGGACCTGTCATCAATTCATTCACTTCCATGTGCTCGACTATCACTTTCTCCGTAGAATTGCCTGTATTTGATGGCACCATATTATGACAGTAGTTCTTAGGTTCCGTGGTATTTATTTTGTGTTTCATTATCTTTTCTTGAGTTTGTATGACCCATCTCTTGGTGTCCATAGTGAAACAAGTTTGCGTTCAAAGAAATAAATTGTTTCGTTTTACTTATTCCTCTACAATCTCCGTTACCAATTGGAAGAAAGGCTACTACCAAAGAAGGTCGACCTTGGCATTTACAGAAACTGGTGCAAAAGCATACTGTTGTTCCACACAAAGAAAAATATTAAGTCATGTCAACCTACAGAGACTGAAGGATACACTGGATTCAGAACACCACTCCGCACCTTTCTCCCCCAAAGAAGATGCTGGATTCAGTAAAAGCAAATCATGCATGGATCGTACTCAGGACTCCACGTATCACCAAAATCATCGTCAGCGAAAAGAGCATAGAATGATAGTCGACTCCCTACCTCAACTTCACCGACTTCCGATGGGCCTTTGACAGCGTTGGCTGTGAAGTAATTTAGAAACTGCGTCAATACTACGTAACGTAGTATGGCGAACCTTCATTCAACAAGTAAATGACAATGTCACATGTTGAGTTATCCTCAACGGAAAATGCAGAGAATCCTTTTATTTTATTAATTTTATTTTTGATTACAGCTTGATTCCACACTGTATTTTTGGTACAAGTATGGAATTTTCAGCATGATATCGGTGGCCCAAATTTTTGCAGAGAATCCTTTGAAGTGAATTCATGATTTGGACAAGGCTAAATACTATCACTGATGATATTCCTGATTGTAGTGAAGTGGATACCGCGTAAGACTGTTTTTCGGGATGCAGAAGATATGAATACGTTGAAATGAGATGAAGACTGTGGCTGTTTCGGATTTTGCAGACGATTTTGTCTATTGCCGCACAAACTGAAAAACGTGCAAGCGAAAACCAACAAGTTGGTGAAAGAAGAAGGTAGCAAAGGTAGGAATTCAGGGAACACTAAGAAGACAGATGTGATGAAGTTAACCAATCAACCAATAGCAACGTCAACCAGCACCAATCACTAACAAAGAGAGTAATTTGAAAGAGGTCACTTCCTTCACTTTTTTAGTCACCATTTTGTCAACTACACGCATGTCGCATGAAGATGTCAGAGTGAGAAGCGCAAAGGTGATGCAGACATTCCTCACTCTGAAATGAGTTTGAAAATCTTCTACGCTCCGCTGTATGAAGAACAGGATTTAGATTTTCAACACCAATGCTAAGTCAGTTGATCAGTTCTTCTTCTATTTGAGTCAGAAACGTGGCACCGGCATCACAAAAACAGACATTTATCAACAACTGCCTTCTCTCTCTGCATACTGAGGAACAAACGGTCAGCCGAAAAGTATTGCTCACAGGAAACTCTAGGTATGAACCCACAAAGAACCTACTGCTCAACAAATATTCCGAAGAATATGGAGATGGAACAGACAGATAAGTCATCCCCCGAGTGGAAGGTGAATGAGAAGCAACAAGTTGGGCGTTTGTCCGAGAGTGACATGAAAGAGTTCTTGGGAGTAAAAAATAGAAGACTATGAAGAATCTTGGGACCAGGAGACAGAACAAAGTGGAGATGTGCTTTTGAAACTCTATCCCCCAGTTACTATTCAAGGGAACAATTGCAGCAATCAGTAGTAATGATACATGGATGCACTGGTGGTTTTAATTACCCTCATAAATTCCATTATTTTGCTTTTTTCAGGACAACTTTCAATTATGTCTCTAGTGAAAAGTTGTACGAAATAAACGATATAAACTGTATGAATTGTTTATGATATCATTATGAATATACATACATACATATGTGAACCAATTATCATTTCACTCTTTTATTTTTAGGTTGATAAACGCTTACAGTGCTTATGTGTGAAATTAGGACAATCTCTGGAAGCATTTAATACTCCAGATGATCGAAATCTAGCAGAGAAAGTTTATCAGGAATTAGAAGAGAGAATCGATCTATCAAGAGTAAGTTGTTCTTCTTTTCAAATGTTAGTTTTATCATGATCTCTCAATATTTAGGTGGGGGGGTGGGTGTCGACCAGGAATCTGACGTAGATCTTTGGCGTGGCTGAAAAGCATACAACGCTTAGACCACTAACACATTCCTAATAGACAATAATATTCGCTTTTTTGTTTGTGTAAAAATGCATGAAATAATCTAAATATTGATTAATTTTTTCCCTTCTCCTCTTCTTTCTTATAGTGTACCGTCTTGAGTGATTTTGACTTCGATGAATGGAGACGTAATTATCTACAGTGGATTGAAAGTTGTCACTATCGTCTAGCTGATATATTTCCTACTGTTACTGCCAGTACCGATACCATTCAAGCTGATCAACAAAAATCAAAGCTTCACTTACACCTTTCTCCAACATCTTCAACATCATTGACTCCAAAAAGTGTGTCTACTGTCTCGTCATCCACACAGTCGATGAACAATTCTCCAAGGCATAGCTCACCTCCTACGCCTACTACTAAAAGCATCAAATCAGTTGGGAAACAATCCAGTAGTGAATCTTTAAATCTAGGTAGTAATGATGTTGTCGTCGATGTTGCCACTGGTTCGAATAAAACACATGCAATTGCAAAGGGTAAACAAACTGTGAATATTTCAAAATCACCTGAATTAAATTATTCACAGTTTAGGGAAGTTTTACTCCTACGACGACGACAACACCAGCAACAAAAGCAACATAGTCGACCTAAATATGACTGGGCAAATCCTCTGCGTATCAGAGCCGTATTTGATACCATTGATAAGACGAAAAAGGCAGAATAACACATGAACAAATTATTGAAGCTCTGACTGATAAAAAACAGGTGATTCTTACACTTTTGCTTTGTTGATAAATTACACACATTAATGTATTCTTTGATTGGACACTAACTAATGTCATGATGTTTGATACAGACTGAAATTCTAACATCAGCTAAGTTTTTGTAATGTGTGGCCACCATATGTTAGGCGGCTTGCCATCATGATGCATTCAGAAATATTGTTATTAGATTGGTTGGATGGCATCGGCAGCAAGGACTAAATGACCCAGGATTTTGTGCTTGTTGACACTCACTAGTTAGCCAACAAAGCGTATCTGTAATATGACTGCAGAACTGGGCGACACGCGTTCAAACCTCAGAATGCCGATGAGTCCCTTCAAAAATTTGCAGATACAATTTGCTGTTGACTGATGAATGCCAACAAGCAAGCAACAGCTAGATCAGTTAGGTAGGGCTTCCTGCCGACGGCCTTCAACCATCTAAAACAATAATGTTGCATTATCTTGCCAATCTTAATTAATATTTTGATATTAGAATTCAGTTTATTGAAATACATATTTTTATGTGTCAGCTTATAAGAAGCAAAAGTGATTAGAGCGAACAATTATTTTCAATAAATTCTATTCATTTAGGCTCTATAATTATAAATCCATTAATACCGTAGGCTAAATCCATTAATATTAGCCTACGGTATTGCCAATAAAGTCAAATTAGGATTAAATGACGAAGTGTATTTTGTGTGGTGGAAGCACAAGATGGAGTAGTAGTCAGTTGTCTGTCTGTCTGTTTTCGATATAGAACTTTGCACCGATGGGCGGCAGTTCAAGTCGCCACACTCCATGTAACACACAGAAAAATAGAAGAAAGTACAAGAAATGCATAATAGAGACAGTAAGCAGAGGTGTGAGACAAAGGAATAGTAATAACGAAGAACAACATAGTTTCATTGGAAATCATAAGTCACAAGGAGTGGATGCATCTGCACCATCGAGAACGATTTTGAGCCATATCACCAATTGTTTCCAGTCATTAGTTTTTACCGTCCTGAGGACCCCAACCTGGAAGTCTACACCTTCCTACGTGGCTGGCTTAAACTAATTGTTGTAGATTTCATTGACTGGTGTCATGTTTTGGTTTGACCGCCGCTAGCTCTTTTCCAGCCTAACCCTATGTCAGCTAACATTGCCCGTCAGTCGAAGAACGCGATGACTAGGCATACGTAACACATGTCCTAATCATCTCAGTCGATGTAATTTCACAGCCTCATCGATTGATTTCCCCTCCTTACCTAGCACTCGACCTATGCCTAACCTCAATATTGCTCACCTTATTATACTAGTTCACATGGGAGATATAGCGTAGGCACCTATGATCAAAGACAGGCAGCCAGCCAACCTTTTCATGTCTTCCACTCTCAATGGCTATGTCTCCCAGCCATATAGGACGACGGAGCGGACTGCTACCGTGCAGTACACGCGCCCTTTGGTCGATAGCCGGATATCACGTAATAGTCAGTTAGTTTTGATGATCACTTAGAATATACATGGTGAATGAGAACATTAAATAAAATGAGATGAGGTAATTCGATGATGTGTGTATATGTATGTAGTCCACAAAATTACAGGTTTTGAAGGTATGTGTAATCATTAATGATGTGAGCGAGAGACGATATAAATACTGCAGAGAAATAAACCAACAAGTGGGATTGATTAGACATCAGTTTAAGGGTGACTAATAACAATAATCATGATTGTGAAACAATAACGATGATGTGGTGTAAACTCAAAAGTACTATTGGTGAATGATTATCAGATAATAATAATAATAATGATGAATTTAGTGGAGTGAAATGAACCTGACTGTGTAAATATTATAACAAGTTACAAAAAGCACAACGTAAACCTGAAGGGAATGGAAATCATAAGAAAGGTCATGAAGTCATAAAAGGTTAGAGATGAACGTTTGTCATTGAAATAAAGTGTAGCAGTAGGTAATTCCCAGAATTATTTGTGAGGATGAATTTAAAGTTTTAATGTCTATGGAGGTTTTTTTGGCCTTATTGTAGGCCAATATAAACGTAGCAGTTGGACATATTTCTTCTGTATACAAAGAGCTGATCTTCTGTTGCTGATTGCTACCGCTGCACCTAGTGATAGAAGAGGTATTCGAGCTACTCTAGACAGATTACTAGGAAGGCGGTGAGTAAACGAGAACGCCTGATCTGGCTTGATTGAAAAATTGTGCTACATCACTGAATTATTTCGTCTCGTTTTATCTCATGGTCTTATTTACCATTCATATTCCAAATGATCACCAGAACCAGTTGGTTATCACTTCATCTTATACCACATTTTTTTATTCCTTTACGTACCCAGTGGAACATCGGGCTTCAAGATAGAGACTTGGAATTTAGGTAGCAATGGTGTTTATCTTTACAGGATGGGATTGCTAGTCTCATGTCCAGCTTTCCTTCTTTGCCGGCCCTACTACCGGCTTAGCGAGGCAAAGGAGTGTTTCGGCCACGGATCGAACCCCGACCATGTGCGCGGTCGGCGAGCATTCTACCTCTGTGCCACCGACGCACAACTTGTACCACACATAATACGCTTTCTGATATAGTACTAAGTTGACTTTGTTGGCAGTATTGTATGCTGAAATTAATGGATTTAAAATTGTAGAGTCTGAAGATGGAGACTTTATTGAAGACATTTGTTCGCTCCAATTATTTTTGATTGTGAACAATTACTTGGATATTTAATTTATAAGAAACATCCATTATATCTTGTGTGATCCTGATAGCCAATCTATCAAGCTTAATTAGGTGAAGTCGAATACGAACCTGAAACTCACAGGCTACAAGTCAACTTTTAAATCCAATCGGTTTCATGAAATTCTTGTCTCAAAAAATACCACTTAATACTGATAACCAGAAGCGATTTAAGACCGAGGAGGGTAATGAAAATTAGTCATATTTGATCAAACTCAAGGAATAAATGATATTTTTATCTATTTACCCGTGAGTAGCTGTGTAAGATGCCGTATACAATGCAATGACTGTTAGAAGTTGTTTTATGTGTTCTTTAGGGAACCCTGAGTTTCATCGTCTATGTTTTCTGACCACTATTCACAAGTAATGTATATACTCCTACCAAAGAAACCGTTTTAAACTTACCAGATGATGGCGACTTGACATTTTTATGTCTTGAAATGACCAAAACAAGATAATTCTTGCATTATGCCTACATAATTCCCGTTATTTATTTCTTGGGAATAACTCACTATCTGTTTTTCTCTTGATGCCGAGATGAATGAAGTCTACTAGCCAGCCGAAGTTATAGACTGAGGTTTAGTGCAAACGACAATAAACCAGTGAACTTCGAGATGTCATTGTTTTGTGATCAAGCTAGATCCTTTAAACACTAATCTCGTCTTGATTCCTTCAAAGCTCAAGCTTGAAGCCCTATATTCCACTTGGAACGTAAAGAAATACAGAAAGTTTAGACTATTAATCATTCTTTAAGGATATGACAAACACCCTCCGGTATCAATTGAAATCCCTTCTCTGAGATAAACTTTAACCAGCTTCATGTTTGTGCAGAGGCTTTCACCATCTACTTCACACAATAGGTCGTTTGTCTCATTCGCTATCGGCGTTGTTTGGTTAATCATCCGCGAAATTCGGATCTCTCAGTGTCTATTCTTCGGTCAGACGTATCCTCTTCTTTTCGCTTCCCACGATCTCCTACTTGATGCAATCTACCACAAGCAGGGGGTATCATAGGTGATAGTAGGCAGAACTGTCTTCACTCTAAATGCTTTAATGATTTCTCTATTTGTGATTTATTTGATATGTGGTATCATTATTATACAGTAGTTAAAAATGGCTTATAAATATTCCGGAAACTCTGTAGCGTTGACGCAATTCTCACTTGAACTACAGTATAAAAAAGAATAGTTGATTTTTTTTTATAAAATCAAGGGATAATTGAAGGTCATTATTGCATACAGTATAGTACATGTATAGTAATTCATTTCGCCTTTAGAATAATCAGCCGAGTGTTAAAAAACAGCCTAGTTAATTTACTTGTTTAAAAGCTTTCCTTCTCCTTTTCTGTCTCTCTCTCTCTCTAACACATTTTAGCAACAACAACAACAACGACAGGAACAGCCAACCAGACAGCAACATCTGCGAAATGATGAGTTAATTGCACGTGCAATAGAACAAGAAACCAGTAAATGTATTTGCCAAATAAAATTTCAACCTAAAAAAGTTGGAACAGATAAATATTGTGTAAGTGAAAAAACTTTCTATTATTAATTAACTTACATAATATTTTCCTTTTTATTATATAATTCAATTTGGAATCAATGCCGATTGACTGATTGATTGGTTGTTTGGACCAAAATGCTTGACTTCAGGTTGATATATCGACTCTTTGTGCAAGATGCTTCGACGATGACTAAGAATTTAACCTGAAGTAGTTTGCTGGATGATGACTGATGACTAGCATGGATCCATCAGGATGCGGATTTCGTCCTATTTGGGATTTGTGATCAGATGGATTTACCTGGATTCCCCAATGAGTCAGTGATGGTGATCCTACTGAGGCTCGAACCCGATGCTTATAGTTTCAGACACCAAAGCGTTATCCACTAGACAGACTACTTGAGCAACCAGCGCCCTTCTTGGGGAACGGGTGGAGAGCACATCATGGTGGATTCCACTATTAGTCACCTTCCACCAAAGTACTTCCCACGTTTTGGATTTCTTTCATCTGAAGACTACGTCTCAAAGATCTTGTCTTAATAATAATTCGCTTTATTCCAAAATACTGCTTACGATACAGCATGGATTCTCAGCATTTAGCACAATATTACTGCACCTAATTTACTCCACTACAGCAAAAAACAAAAAAATAATATTACAGAGGACTACTATTTTAACTGTTCCTTTTGTTTCCGAGTGAAACATAATACTGCATCAGTACGTCTCCACTTTGTTCTATTTTCTATAGTCCTGTTTTTGGCTGGCTCCTCAATGTTGCCCTTGAACGCCCCACTCGTCGTTTGTCATTCGGAGATTCCACTCGGACTAATGGCCTGACAGGTCATGTCGTTTAACGGTCGCCTCAGCGTATGCCCAATCCATCTGCATTTTCTTCTACATGTTTGTTGAGCGATCGGCTGATGGTTCGTTTGTTCCCCTAGTTTCCTGTTGGGGATTCTTTCTGGTCATTTGACCTTTAATATGGCGACAGCGAAGGTTGCAGCTGTTGATAAAAGTCTCCAGCCTGTTGAAATACTTTTCGTGACGCGTGAGGCGAATTTCTAGGAAGCATTAAGAATTGAATTCTGAGACCTTTACACAAAGAAAATGCCCGATATAGAATTAATGTTGTCTTTAGCTTTATCTCTAAAACCAGCTTCATGTTTGTGCAGAGGCTTTCGCCATCTACTTCACACAAACAACAAACTGACACCAACACACTGTTGCTTTCATTCGAGCCTTCTTATAGTAAGTATTTCACGTCATTTTCCATTTTCTTCTCTATATATGTTGGGTTGCATCGGTGGCATAGCGGTTGGGACGATGGCTGACCATGCACATGGTCCGAAGTTTGATCTCCGGCTACCAACGCACTCATTTTCCTCACAAAACCAGTAATAAAAAAGCTGGTAAAGAGGAAGGTTTGACATGAGGCTAGCAACCCAATCCTGTAAAAATAAACACTCTTACAGAAACTTCAAGTCCCTAGCTTGAAGCCCCATGCGTTCCACTCGGAACGTGAAGGAATATATATATATATGTGTTGGGTAATAGGTCAGTTGTCTCATTCGCCATCGGCGTTGTTTGGTTAATCATCCGCGAAATTCCGATACCTCAGTGTCTTTTCATCGGTTAGGCGTATCCTCTTCTTTTCGCTTCCCACGATCTCCTACTTGATGCAATCTACCACAAGCAGGGGGTATCATAGGTGATAGTAGGCAGAACTGTCTTCACTCTAAATGCTTTAATGATTTCTCTATTTGTGATTTATTTGATATGTGGTATCATTTTTATACAGTAGTTAAAAATGGCTTATAAATATTCCGGGAACTCTGTAGCGTTGACGCAATTCTCACTTAAACTACAGTATAAAAAAGAATAGTTGATTTTTTTTATAAAATCAAGGGATAATTGAAGGTCATTATTGCATACAGTACAGTACATGTATAGTAATTCATTTCGCCTTTAGAATAATCAGCCGAGTGTTAAAAAACAGCTTAGTTAATTTACTTGTTTAAAAGCTTTCCTTCCTACCTTTCTCTCCCTCTCTCTCTCTGTAACACATTTTAGCAACAACAACAACAACGACAGGAACAGCCAACCAGACAGCAACATCTGCGAAATGATGAGTTAATTGCACGTGCAATAGAACAAGAAACCAGTAAATGTATTTGCCAAATAAAATTTCAACCTAAAAAAGTTGGAACAGATAAATATTGTGTAAGTGAAAAAACTTTCTATTATTAATTAACTTACATAATATTTTCCTTTTTATTATATAATTCAATTTGGAATCAATGCCGATTGACTGATTGATTGGTTGTTTGGACCAAAATGCTTGACTTCAGGTTGATATATCGACTCTTTGTGCAAGATGCTTCGACGATGACTAAGAATTTAACCTGAAGTAGTTTGCTGGATGATGACTGATGACTAGCAATGGGATTCATCAGGATGCGGATTTCGTCCTATTTGGGATTTGTGATCAGATGGATTTACCTGGATTCCCCAATGAGTCAGTGATGGTGATCCTACTGAGGCTCGAACCCGATGCTTATAGTTTCAGACACCAAAGCGTTATCCACTAGACAGACTACTTGAGCAACCAGCGCCCTTCTTGGGGAACGGGTGGAGAGCACATCATGGTGGATTCCACTATTCGCCACCTTCCACCAAAGTACTTCCCACGTTTTGGATTTCTTTCATCTGAAGACTACGTCTCAAAGATCTTGTCTTAATAATAATTCGCTTTATTCCAAAATACTGCTTACGATACAGCATGGATTCTCAGCATTTAGCACAATATTACTGCACCTAATTTACTCCACTACAGCAAAAAACAAAAAAATAATATTACAGAGGACTACTATTTTAACTGTTCCTTTTGTTTCCGAGTGAAACATAATACTGCATCAGTACGTCTCCACTTTGTTCTATTTTCTATAGTCCTGTTTTTGGCTGGCTCCTCAATGTTGCCCTTGAACGCCCCACTCGTCGTTTGTCATTCGGAGATTCCACTCGGACTAATGGCCTGACAGGTCATGTCGTTTAACGGTCGCCTCAGCGTATGCCCAATCCATCTGCATCTTCTTCTAAATGTTTGTTGAGCGATCGGCTAATGGTTCGTTTGTTCCCCTAGTTTCCTGTTGGGGATTCTTTCTGGTCATTTGACCTTTAATATGGCGACAGCGAAGGTTGCAGCTGTCGATAAAAGTCTCCAGCCTGTTGAAATACTTTTCGTGACGCGTGAGGCGAATTTCTAGGAAGCATTAAGAATTGAATTCTGAGACCTTTACACAAAGAAAATGCCCGATATAGAATTAATGTTGTCTTTAGCTTTATCTCTAAAATATCTGAGACTAATATTAGTTACAAACATATGTTATCCATGAATGTATCACCACGATTTACGACTGTAACTTCTGTCCAAAAACGTGGACCCTGTATGCCGAAAATCATTGAGAGACAAGTGGTCTTGGGGATTCTTCTGTCCCGCTTCGAATAACTACTACTCTATTAATGCTATCGTTGGCGTGGGTCGGTAGGAGATTGTCGCTCCTTTTGGAACACGTGTGTAGATACCGATCACGCACTGGTCCGGGCTCGTGTGTGCTTACGACTGAACGGACGTAGGAAACAGCTGGCGGTAAAACCATCACGTCCCCAGCTCGATCAGGAAACTAAATCCCTATTTGAGGAAGAACTAGCTAAACGCATATCTGAATTCGACAGCTGTGCTCACCCTGGAGAAGCCTGGAAGAATATTCAGTCAGCTATAGATACAGCTGTAAAAGCTGTGAATAAGGCAAATCCAAAGGTGAGTAAAAACCACTGGATTTCGACTGCCTCATCCGAACTGATAGATGCTAGAAGACTTATTCCGGCGAGCTCCGAATTCAATGAGGAGCGAAAGCTGCACAAAAGGAAACTTACTAAAAGTCTCCGCAAGGACCGTGAACAGTGGTGGGTGACAAAGGCGAAAGAGATGGAAAAAGCATTGGCGATAGGCAACACTAGGCAACTCTTTAGACTCATCACAGAATCGGGTGGGAGAAGGCAATTCATAAGTGAGACTATTTCTGAGAAAAATGGCTCCTTAATTAGCTCTCAGGATAGACGCCTTGAACGCTGGAAAGAACACTTTGAGGAACAATTTAACTTGCCTACAGCCACACTGAACCTCCCCGCCATCCACCACGTACCCGAATGGGATATAGACACTGGTCCGCCGTCTGTAGGTGAGGTTACAAAAGCTATCAGTAATTTGAAACGAGGCAAAGCGGCAGGACCCGACGGAATTATTCCGGAGGTGTTTAAATATGGGGGTGACATACTAGTTTGTAGATTAACTGAGGTACTAGGCAAAGTCTGGGAATCAGAGACAGTACCATCAGACTGGGGTAAGTCACTTATTATACCGATATTCAAGAAGGGAAACAAGTCCTCGTGTGATAATCATAGGGGGATCAGCCTAACGAACATAGTCTCTAAAATCCTAGGCTCAGTAATCATGCATAGACTAAGCAGAACTCGGGAGGAACAGACAAGGGAAAATCAAGCAGGCTTTAGACCAGGTAGAGGGTGCATAGATCATATCTTCACTCTTCGACAGATTCTAGAACATAGACACACTTTTCGGCGTCCAACAATTGTCATATTTCTTGACTTGAAGGCGGCCTTCGACTCCGTGGATCGAAAGGTACTATGGCAATGTCTGACTGTGAAGGGAGTGCCAAGAAAGTACATTGCACTAATCAAGGCACTCTATTCAAACTCACGTAGTCGTGTAAGGGCTTATGGGGAATTGTCATCTGAATTGGTAACAACCAGTGGTGTCCGACAGGGATGTCCACTTTCCCCATTTCTGTTTAACTTCATCATAGATATGCTAATGGAAGTATCCTTAACTGAACGTAGTGACTTAGGAATCGACTTGTTACCAGGGAATAATCTAATGGACTTAGAATATGCAGATGACATAGTCCTGTTAGGGGAGGATGCTGACAAAATGCAGAGTCTTCTGAACACCTTGAGCAGCAATCTTCGTATGTTTGGCATGCGATTCGCCCCTGCAAAATGTAAGATGCTGCTACAGGACTGGACCACGTCAACCCCTAACTTAGTGATAGGGAGTGAAGTGATAGAACATGTTGACCACTTCACCTATTTGGGAAGTTGTATTAGCACCAACGGACTGATTGGCGATGAAATCTCAGCACGGATCCGAAAAGCTCGAGCTGCTTTCGCTGACTTACACCATCTCTGGCGTAGGCGTGACATCCGGTTATCAACCAAGGGACGTGTGTACTGCTCATCAGTTCGCTCCGTCCTTCTCTATGGCTCTGAAACATGGCCAATACGCGTTGAAGACATGAAAAGGTTGACTGCTTTCGATCATAGATGTCTGCGATCTCTGTCTCACGTTAGGTGGTTTCACAAGATAAGTAATGTTGACGTTAGGCGTAGAGTGTTGGGCAAAGAGGGAAAATCAATCGACGAGGCTATAAAGTTACATAGACTAAGATGGCTAGGTCACGTGCTGCGCATGCCTAACCACCGCCTCCCCCGACGGGCATTGCTAGCTGATATAGGTTCAGGTTGGAAAAGAGCCAGTGGTGGCCAAACAAAAACATGGCATCAATCCATGAAATCCTTGACAGTTAAACTGAGTCAGGTAGGGAGATGCAGACTCCCGGGTTGGGGCCCTCGGGACTCTAGGAATCAATGGCTGGAGACAATAGGTGACATGGCTCAAAATCGTTGTCAATGGCGCAGATGTATTCAGTCTCTGTAATCTTTCATATTCCTTTCTACCATTACCCATTCTGTTTCACTCTTATATTTGTCAAACTCTATTGATTCTCTTCACTCATCTTCTTGTCTACCTCTGTGTGCTATTTGGAACGTGGCAACTCGAACTGCTGCACTTCGGTGCCAAGTTCTATGTTGAATCCAGACAGACAGATTAATGCACAATAAATGTAAACATGGTGCCTTCAGTAACTAATATTACCTATAAGCATATTGAATTTCAATGCGTCGGTGGCACAGTGGTTAGGACGCTCGCCGACTATGCATATGGTCCGAGGTTCGATCCCCTGCCAGCGCACACCTGATATCTATGGTTGGCCTGCAAAATTTGGGCTACCAATATCCATGCTGAAAATTCCATACTTGTACCAAAAATACAGTGTGGAATCAAGCTGTAATCAAAAATAAAAAATATAAAATACTGGATGCAATACTGTAGTAAAATGCTGAGAATTCCATTCTGTATCACAAATACTGTTTCGGAATAAAGCAAATTATTATTATTATTATTGACTATGAGTTCAAAAGAAATTGCTACAGTCATTATCCTTTCCTCAGCAAATTAAAACCAAACCAACTGATAAAATCACCAGCATCATCACCACCAACATTTGTTTGTTTAATCATGCTGTTCTCACACATTATTCTTGTTATCACAGATCATCTCACTTTTTCATCTTTCTTCTTCCTGATAGTATCCATCATCATCATCATTATAACTAGTTGCACAAGTGATATGCATAATCCCATCATCCTGTTGACAAAGTAGCCGTGATTGATTTATATATTTTAATAATAATTTGTAAAGTTGTCTAAATATACTAAAGTTAGGATCTGATGAGATCCAATTGAAGCAGATCACTACGCACTAATAAAACTCTACGCATATCTCCCTTCTTTTTTCCATTTTTTTTGTAGTTTGGACCTAGTTCGAAAGTCTACTTAGTCCGTTTCCTGAATAGTATCACTATGGTACGGGTAGGCGGTGGATGGATGAAGTTGAGCGAATTCTTAGACACTCGTGATCCATGCAGAAGTAAGCAGTTGTAGACTTGATTTTACTTAATCCCTTTTTATTCACGGGTATTTTCTCACTGAGTGGTTAGCATTAACATGACACATTATCTAATCTAAGTAATCGCAGTGTGGTTTTGAAAATAAAAGGGAAAAATAAGACAATCATATATACTTCTAAAGATTGTGTAGACAAAAAGTCGAACTATAAGCGCCATTTTGATACCCTTACGTTTGTGACCCCTCAATCAACATGCAAAAATAATTCCACATCGACAACTATAACCTGTGAAACCAGATACTGACTAACACTGACATAAGAATAAAACTTGTGCACTGTGGTAGAGTATAATTCCATTATGGGTGAATTTTTGTTTTGATAAAGTCTCACTGCGGTGTTATACAGTAATGTTTGCTAATGACCACGTTTCGAGCACAATTTATTGCCACTCATAATCATATCAAGGTAATCACACGACTTCCTAACTTTATTTATATAGTTCCATTATTTTTCACTTGATTTGATTGGCAGTAGTATTTTCCATATTTCCGGTATGAGTGATGAATCGTTCCTATTGCATGTGTTGGGTGTAGATTCAATGAACCGAGCAGGATTCAGTAATCAACCTCTCTCTCCACCTGTCTAGATTACTTTTTAGAATTTTAACCCTCTCCCACCCACCATATAGTGTGTGGTTGTGTGTTAATGCATGCATTGCAATTGCTGAGCTTCGCTTTCTAAATTACTTATCTTCTCGGGTGGGGTCAACCATTCTCACCTTAGCTAAATTCTTATGTTCCGACAATCTGACTACCCCGCCCGATCTACTAGTTTAATCTATGTAGTTGACCTAACTCACAGTCATTGCAGGGTATTTTGTAAATTATATTATTTTGTCTAATTGGGTCAACCAACAGGGTACTTTAACCTACAGAGCTTGTCCCTGAGTGAATGTATAGGTTTAAATGCCACCCTAATTCCTGCTTTATTTAGAATCCCACGTAGGGTTTCAGATGTCCCCTCTTTATATGGCATAACTGTAGATGACATATTCTCTCTTATTTATGTTATTATTACTAGTTTCACAATTGTTTTTCTTTTTCGTTTGGCCTTTTTCGATCTCCCCAATGAATTTTAAAGGATAGTTATTTAACATCAAAGCCTCTTCTATCTGTTTTAGTTCATCATTAAGGTCTTTTCTTGTGCTACTTAGTGCAACTGCTTGGTTTGTTAAACACTTAACTAAGCCTGCCTTCACAGACAGTTAACGGATGAGATGAATTAAATTCTAATTATTTATTAGAATGAGTTGGTTTTCTGTACACACTGGTGTGTATTTTACCTTCTTCTATTCGTTTTATTTTACAATCTAACATAGCTAATTCTCCTTGTTCATTTTCCAATCACATCAAGTGAAAACCAAGTGAAAAATAATGGAACTATATAAATAAAGTTAGGATGTCGTGTGATTACCTTGATATGATTATGAGTGGCAATAAATTGTGCTCGAAACGTGGTCATTAGCAAACATTACTGTATAACACCGCAGTGAGACTTTATCAAAACAAAAATTTACCCATAATGGAAAGATACTGACTAAGTATTCCAGTTATACCTGAAGTTGAAAAAGAAAACTATTCCGTACTGAACAGCTGTTTCATCCTAGTTTACGATTCTTCAGAATGACTATTTAGCCCATGAACTCTCAAGCCCCCCCCCACCGATTCGTGATCTTAGCCTGACTACCATGGCCAGCTATTGAATCGAGTACCAGTCGCTGAATGGTCTATGAGTTTGCCTCATAATCAGAAGATCCTGGGTTCTAATCCCTGTGGGTACGTGCTAGTAAAGGGTGCTGTAAAGCACTCATGAACTCAAAAATATGAAAGACATATCTTTACGGACAGATTTTCTGTAATGATAGCCTGGCCATCTGTACACGTTTCCATCAACACGGCTGCACACCTCTATAAAGATATTACTAGCTCACATTTACAAGCTTTCTATGAACCCATTATCTAGCCAGTACTAAAATACTAGACCTGGATGTAATCTGAAACGTGATCGCAACGGGCTAATCTGATTAGTTGTTCGAGGTCATTTCGTCCGTTGACTTGAGTTTTACTTTTGGGTCGCTATAGTTTAGAATTACTCGTATTCTTATTTCACCTACACATTTCAGCTTCGCTAAGGGGAATCATCAACCTTCATACGATAAAAGGGACTCAAAGCTTTATACAAAGGAAACGGATTAGTCACAGAACTTGTTTAGATCTCCAAAGCATAAAGACATATTCCAGTGTTAGTTTGCACAGATCTGAATAGTTACAAGACTTCTTCATGAGTTGACATCGGTTAGAGAAAACCTGGGAGTACTGGACAGCCGTCTCGTCCTCGTGTGGGACTCCTTATTAAGAAACACCCAACAGGTTTCGAACGCAGGAACTTTGGTTACAAGGTGTGGTCGTAGACCATTAAGGGATCACTGGGACCCGATCCAATGGCCAGTTCATGAATTCCAACTTCGTCCTATTCACTATACAGTACAGCCACTAGGTCTTCCAGTGGTTCTGTAGCCGATGTCAGTTCATGATGAAATCCTGTAGCCAATCAAACGCTTGCAAACCGACACTTGAATATCAATGTGATGCTCACTAGAGACTGGCCCTGTTCAGGTTGGTAGCTATATGGGTTCTAATGAGAAGTTGTGAACATTACGGTGGTTCTGGTGTGAAGAGAATTCTCACCGATGTTGACACTGGCTAGTGTCAGTCGCAGTATATCGCGGGTGAATTCTCAGAAGTTGGAATTGATGCGATGGTCACCAGATAGGATCCTAGTGGCTACTCAACGGTCTACGAGCTTGACTTATAACCGGAAGGTCCTAAGTTCAACCCAAGTTGGTGGGTGCGTACTTCTGAAGTGTTTCAAAGTACGACTGTAGAAACTGCTCTCCAGTACTACCTGGTTGATTTCCTATGGTCTCCTAACCGACGTCAGCTCATGATGGAATAATACAAATGGTGTATAACAAGGTATGAACAGTATTAACTGGTAAAATTCTACCGAATTCATCACTATTTGTTACTCGTTTTAATATTATGGAAAAAAGAACCTTTCAGGATGAAGTTCACAACTTTTAAAATCCTGAAATGGAAGTAATTGTACACCTCATTCAATGATAGATCTGATCCTGGATATTGTAAAATTATCTGTAGGTCACCAATTGTTGACTCTGGTGTTTTGTTTCAACCACACACACACACAATACCTTTTTCCGATGTTCCATTTCTCTGTGTATCACTTTTTTCTTGAAATCTAGTTGTCCATAAAAGAAATCGTGTTGGTTCTTCTGCGCCTAAAGCAAATCCATCATTGACCACATTCACACCTTCTGGTTCAAAGAGAGAAAATACTTTAGGATTTATTGAAGTCACTCCAATACGAGGGACTAATTCGCATGACGAATCGCCTGCTGTTTTTGGGGAGGAATTCCACATCACATCAACACCACTGCTGAATAAGGAAGTCGGCCATGGACAAAGACAAATACCAAGTTTACTTGGTCAAGCTTTCATTGATACCACTACTACCTCTTCAGCGTTTGAGTCATCTTCAAATGGTAAGTGTACAGGTTTAATCAAAAGATGACCATTTTCAAGGGTGTCGTGTTGACTCATTCTGTAGCATACCCACAGGCATTGCACTATGGACATTATCTGTTGATTTTATCAGCAGAGTTGGCTAGAAGACTGTTCATGGAGATGCTGTGTCATACTAAAATTGTCAGTCGGACAGCTGCTATAAGCTGTCATCATATAGTAGGTCTATTGCATTGTGATTGAAGTCTAAATTAGAAGTTGAAGTATTTGAAGATGACATGTGGTGACTAGTATTTTGTTCGCCAGAGCCGCCTTTTCACTTTGCGGAGCGTCTTTGTAAACAAGTCGTTCTGACAAGTTTATATCACTCGATTATTCCCTTAAGTTGCGAGGAAGACATAGGCCTATTACAGCACATGTCCGTTTCACTTGATTATTTCACTCTTCTTTAGCTGACTGCATGGTTGTCTATGAACTCTCATTTCCTTGTCACACGATCTCCACCATGTCACTCTCTGACCTACTCCCAACTCGTCGCTTCCCATTTCGAGGTTCACTCGAGTGATGGCCTGGCGTGCGATGTCACCTAATGGTCTTCTCAGTGCGTGTCTGATCCATCTTCATTTTATCGGAACATTTGTTGAACAATAGGCTCTTGATTGATTTGTTCCGGAGTTTCTTGTTACTGATTCTTTCTGACCGGCCATGTGGCCTTCAGCTGTTGACAAGAATTTGTAACTTGCTTCATATGCCTTCAGTGACGCGTGTGCCAGGTTCTATGAACCGCATAGAAGAACTGAAAGACTTGAAATTCATGTTGGAAATTTGAATGTTGTTATTTATGCTTGACACAGTAAATTTCCACATTGATTTTAAATTATTGTAGGCCTTTTCTATGTGATCTTGACTTTAACATCCTCACCGAGATAACTGAAACACGTGACTTTCTTCAAATTCCCCTCGTTGTTATTGTTTGGTGTCTGTTGTTGGTTGGTTAGGCATCTTCATCACCTCTGTCTTCTCTTTGTTCACTTTGAGGTTGTGGAACCGCCATCTATCTCTTCTCCTGACTTATTGCCTTTTGTCTGTAGGTCTTCGATATCTGTGAATTTCAAATCATCTAAAGTCTTCTTATCTTCTTCTTGCTACACACGGTCCAGAGGAGATGATCAAGCCTACCACAACTAGAAATATTACCAGTGACAGCAAACAAACAGCCTTGTCTTACTCCATCTTGTTTTCACTTCAAAAGCCTCGCTGAGTTTTCCATTACGAGTCACTTGACATGTGGCAATGTCATATAGCAAGCAGTAAATAAAAGATCGGGGCACTGCGTGGTTTTGAATCATTTTCTGAATTACTTCACAATTACCGCTTTCGAAGGACTTTTTTTACAATCGATGAAGCTCAGGTGAAGATTTGATCACCATTGTATTCTATGATGATGATGATGTGTAGTGTTTCAGTTTTGATCGTCATATGATATGCTCTTCTGGAATTCAGCTTGTTCAAAGAGCAGAATTTCACATTCAGAGTTCTGCTGAGCCTCTCCAAGATAACATTGACTTAATATTCTACTGCCGTGTTGGGTACACTGCAGCCCATGTCTTTTGGTATATGCCTTTTTATGGCGCTACAATACATTTAAGTTTCTGTAGCATTTTGATTGATTTTCCGAATTAGAGTCAATAGTCCCCCACTCAACCCTCCCTCTTTCTCCAAGTTGTGACTGGCTAGGTGAAATCTGAATTTCGCAGATGATTTATGTCTAATGTCAAACTAACTCAAAGAGTTACGGACGTATATGTGTAAAACTTGACCACTGTGGTAGTAAGTAATTCCATATTAGTTTGTTTATTAGATGTATCACACAGTGAAACAGTATTGTATACTGGATGACAAGGTTTCGAACAAAATTTATTGTTCATAATCATATCAATTGTAATCACTCGTCTTTGAAACTTGAGTTTTATAGTTTTCTTTGTTTTCTCCTATTTGTCGTACGGGTGGTAGAATTTTCCAGATATCAGGGACAGGTGATGAATCATTCCTATTACGTGTATTTGCAGTTGATTCGATAAACAAAGCTCCTGTTATCAATCTCTCCCTCCACCCTGTGACATTAGATTTTGAAACTGTCATCCTATCTCATCCTATTGTACGGTTGTGTGTGACTTCATGTAGTGCTATGGCTGAACTATTCTCTAGATTTCTTATCTTATTTGGGTCAACCAATCTAGATTTTGCTAGATTTTATGTTCGGCTATTCTGACTGCCCCTCTTCTACTAGTTGACCTATGTATTTGACCTGACAATCATCGTAGCAGGGTATTAGATAAACTAAATTGTTTTGTTTTAAAGGCTCTACAAGATTGATCCTTTGACCGACAAAGCTTGTTTCTGATTGACTTTGTGGGTTTGAATGCCGACCACGTTTAGGGTATCGTTAAGTTTCTATACTTGGTAATGAGAGTAGATAATCTTTTTTACTGACTTCCAGACCTCCCCAATGAGATACAAGCTGGGGAGAGTTGTAAACACAGAGGGACTGGGTGTTGACAGTCAGACAACATGGATTTAGACCATTTCTCATATGAGTTGTCCAGGTGTCTGTCAACTAGGACAGTAACGAACTGACCAACTTAAGAGTGCACAAATTACCCCATTGGCAACAATTGGTACCCTTCGCAATATGACGTAATCTTTTCTAAGTAGCCCAGAAAAGACTCAAAGGGGAGCAATGATAACAATAGGTAGGACTGAAGAGTGAATAATCTGTCAAAGTAGATGTTGAGTGATTCTTGATTTCCTTAACCTTTTTAATGTGGTAGGTAGTTAGACGTAACATTTTCCTAGGAATAGACAAGATATGAGATGACCAAAAAATATCAAAGGATAGAACTATTCCAGTGGTATTCTATGCTTGACTTATTCTCTATATTTGTGCCCACCCTCTAAGCTACAAGCATCGTATGTGCTAATGAGTTCGCTGAGATCACATTTATGAATGAAGATGAAATTAACTGTCTGACATTGAGTAAAGGAATATCACGTTAGAGCATTGGCTAATGTTGAACAGAAAACTAGTCACTTTACCGCAGTTCTATACGTTGGATAAGGTGATGAGTGGCTCAATTCGATTTCAACCATATAAGCGCGATGATTTTACATAACCTTACCAATTTGAGAATCTTCAACTTGTTGACTGTTTAGAATGCCTGCAGACTGTATATGAAATCACTATTATATTTATAATATTATATTATTTTGATCTTCTAAATTTGTGGGATCATTTTTTGTGTTTCAGAACAGGCATCAACAACGATAACCACAAAAGACCGAAAGAAGAAAACAAGAAAACACTAACTGAGATGTCCAGCTATATCAGGATTCAATCTCTTTGAAATGTATAGATATATATATATATATATATATAGAGAGAGAGAGACAGAAACCTTTCTAGTGGTATCTATTTTTGTAATACTGTCGCCATTTTCTTAAAAATTATTACTGTTATTTTTGCATAAAAACGTTTTATAGAGTTTTTTGAAGACTTTTTCTTTTTCTTATCGCTAAGTGGGAATATCCTATCATCAGTCGTATACAATATGCTCAATTCACCTATTCCCGGTTACATGCATATTATATGCATAATGGTTAAGCAGAGTATTATATATAATGATATTTTTTGATTATAGATCCTGAGTGGTTGTCACTGCTGCTCCTGCTTTTTTGCTGTTGCGTTTTTCTTTCTTATTCACTTTTTATGTCGCTTAATGTTTTTCCAATAGTGTAACCTTGATTGTTGTTGTATGCTGTCTAGTTTATTTGTCGAAACGTCATCTGTAAAAACAATTTTTCCGCGATTTTGTGTGCATTTTGTGTAAATGATGCAGCCATTTTTGATGTTATTTTTTCAACAATAAGTTCAGTTGACTTGAGCTTTGTTTCGGTCTTTCTTTTTTTATTTATTAAATCCAACTGACTAGATAACTGACTTCAACTCGAGTTGGTTAACTGAAAAAATAAAGAACTTATATTTGATGTAGGCAGTATGATGACCATCAATGGTCTACTGATAAGTTGGACCTCATAATTCAAGTAAATATTTAGACAACTCACAATTCGTATGGGAGAAGGGTGTATCTCAAACAATTAGCTATTCGACTGACAAAAGATCTGGTAATCTATTACACATTCGATAGACAATAGAAAAAGTCTCTTCAAAACTAACCTTATGGCTTGTTTGAGAGGGGTGACCGTATTTAGAATTGTTTATGATTTTAACCACACGTGTATATTAGCTACACTGGTAGGCGTTCTCGAACACGAAATAATGAATCCTTAAATCAGTTGAATTGATAGATACAATTAGAGGTGGATAGCTTAGATACTTCATTTTTCAGTTACGGAATTAAAATCGATCATGGGGGAAATATGAACTACAGTTTATCAGCGTTAAAATTTCATTGAATCCATTTTCTCAACTGTTCGGTTATTTAAGTGTTGGTTTGTAGGGATTTGGTTGGTTTCACGATTTCATCATGAGCTGACATTAGTTAGAGAACCATTGGAAAACCTGGGAGTACTGTACAGCTGTTTCGTCCCTCCTAGTTTTGAACTCTTCACCAGTACGCACCCGCCGGGATTCGAACCCAGGACCTTCTGGTTACAAGGAGAGCTAGCTCGTAAACCATTAAGCCACTGGGACCTGGTTATTACTTAGTTTTATAAATCACCAGTGATTTGCAATCGTGTATATGGAGAGATGCATAAAATGGACCCAATGGACAAAATACTTGAACGATCTGATCGTCGCCGATGATATATGTCTGATTTCCCACAAAATGGAAGATATGCAAGTGGAAAGCGACAAGTTGGCAGAAGGTGCATCAAAGTTAGAACTTCACTTCAGGTGAACATAGAGAAAACAATGGTGGTGAAGATTCCTGGCCAACAGCAACAACAACAGTCAGCATAAATGGGAGAAATTTGAAAGAAGCAGCCTCCTTTACCTACCTGGGGAGCATCGTTTCAACTACGGGCGGGACTGACGAGGATGTCAAAGCAAGAATCGGAAAATCAAGACAAGTCTTCATTACTCTCGAGTCTGTGTGAGGGTCAACAGCAGTCAGCATGCATGATTAAGATCCGGATTTTCAACTCCAATATGAAATCATTGCTACTATACGGATCAGAGACTTGAACCGTCACTAAGAGCACCCCGAACAAACTACAGGCATTCATCAACAGCTGTATTCGCTCAATACTACTCAAGATCAGATGGCCGATCAGAAAAGATCAGCAACAAAGATCTCTGGCAATGAGCGAACCAACCAGCAGGAACAGATTGTGCAACAAATATGCGGGAAGAAGTGGCGGTGGATTGGCTGGCCATACTCTGAGGAAACCATCAAGTGACATCACAAGACAGGCTCTTGAGTGGAGTCCGAATGGGAAGTGGCGAGTAGGTTGTCCGAAGGTGACATGGAGGAGGTGATGCCAAGAGATGAGAGCGTGTGTATTTTTGTATTCGGAAACTTGAGTGTGATCAATCAATAATTAACGGTCTAACTGATCAACGTCGAATAGAATATGATTGGATCATCCACTTCCTATTGACTTTGGTGAAGCAAAGCATTTAAAATATGTACTGCTTTTCTGAGCTACCAGTAATGACCAGAAGGACACTAAAGCATCAAGTTGTGACAAGTCATATTTACCATTACTTTGTTCAATAGAAATAATCAAATCAAAATTTCCAAAACTAGTTGCGATATATGATGTTTGTTTTTGTGCATACAATGTTACTGCTCATTGTGGTATATTGATGTACCAAGGCTGTAGAACGCTTGACTGAGATACATTCCATACGATTCAATTTGATAGGAACTGATTTGATCGCTCCTTCCGATGTGATGGATGGATATGTAAAAGCAATTAAGATGGCACTTCAGAACGCTGATCAAACTGAAAAAGTAGCAGTCATGTTTGATTCCGCCGAATTCACATCAATTCTCTACGGTCCTTTCAGGGAGTCTGTACAATCCGGGCGTTCTTTTGGCGATCGTCGTTATTACCAACTTCCCCAGATACAAGATGATTGGCTATTCGTGCTGCTATCCAAGACGCAAATGAAGGAGATGAGTTTATAATTGTAAAGCCTTGTCTTCTTTATCTTGATATTCTAGGCTAACTTCGTCAGTTACTGCCCCACCGTTCCTCCACCGGTGTCTCGTGTTTCTGGTAAGTGTACATTGTTGAAACACGTGGAGAGAGCTGAAACTGCCATTCTGAAACAAGCTGGTCTTGAAATAATGACTTCCTTCGTCGTACAGGTGCGTTAAATATCATAACATACCCAACGCTATAATTATCAGATCTTAACTTATCTGAAGCCTATAAATAACAGGTATTTTTTGGCTAAAATACTGAAAAATAATCGTCTTTTCCGTATCCCTAGAACGCTTCGTGATAGCGCATGTCCCACTGACGTTTTCTCGGCAATAGAGTAGAACGTAGAGGTCGTTTTCTTGCGTTCAGACCATAACAGAATAAATTTGATTGTTACACTCAGAGTTTACTCTTCCTACATGATCTTCAGGGAAAAATCCCAACTGATAGTATACTGTGGGGGGGGGGAGGATTATCTGACATGAAGCAAGATCTAATTCCCTTTGACATTACTTCCTTGCTTCTTTCGAAAATCATTACGCTGAATGCTGATAAAAATCTGTGTCCAAATACATTTAGCGATACGAGAGCATATCTGACTGACTTTCGGAATTGTCTTTGTTGGTGTGTTCACCAAGTCTCGCAACCATAAAAGAACCACTGCCTTGACATTAGTATTCGTCGTGTGCTGAATGCTGTCAATCTCCACACAGATTTCAGTTTCAATTATTTGTTTTCAATGATTCCAGTGGTTACAGAACTTCATGATTAGCTGATATCGGTCGGATAACTGTTGGAAAACCGGCACCGGGCTACCAGACAGCTATTTTGTCAGCCTAGTCTGCGACTCTTTAATAGTACCCACCCACCAACAAGGGCTGAACCCAGAACCTTCAAGTTACAAGGTGAGGTCTAAGAAGATTAAGCAGCCACCGAGACCCAATCCAATAGCCTGCCCATGAATTCTAACTTCTGCCAATTCACCCATGGTATAGGACGACTGGCACTAGCCATCGTCATCCACCCATGGCGAGTAGTTGTTCTCACACTAGACCTCAAACTAATAAACACTACATGTATTGCTTTCCCCATTTCTGACTGGCTTTTACATCTTCGTGTGTGCCACTGATAGTTGAAAGGCTGTTGCCTAATTCAGTAAAGTAAAAGAGATAACTCCACTTGGATTCATTCTATTGTTGGTGATTACTGTTTGTTGTGTCATTAGCTGTGATATGGTAAGGATTCCTAAGGGTATTTGCATTATGAATCATTAATTCGTGTCTAGTGATAGATATGATGTTCAGTGATCACCATCCTCTAAAGATGCTTGTACTACAACCACCAGCAATTTGCCATTAGGTGTCAAATTTTTACCCTATCCCTTTTACGCTTACTAAATGTTTTCATAGTTAGCCTTACTTATTTTTGACTCTAATAATACTCTTTAATTCGTTGTATGATATGTAGATTTAGGAATTGTATGAATTTGATTAGCTCCACCAATGACTGCCTCAGGGTTTCCAAGAATTCCTTGGGTGATGTTAACTCTTAACGAAACATTTACTTCATCGCAGCTCATATAATTATGAGGAATCCTTATCCAGACACTGATGAAAATAACACACGCATTTCAGCGAAGAGGATTTTTTTCGGCTAATTCATTTACCACTTCAGTCGTACTGTGGTGAGAGCAGGCTGCTAACCAATTGGTTGACATTAATCTACGTCAATGTCTAGGTCACTAGTATGGGCCGTGAGAAAATATGAACAAGACTGTTTCAACAACCAATCACAGCAAACTTAAACGTGGGCAAATATGATTCGCAGATAGATGGCTCCACTTTCCGAGAAACGCGAAAACAACCAATCAGAAGGCTGCGTTTGTCTACTTGACTGGGCTATAATAATGCATGTGAAATTTATATAAATACGTGTTGATTTTTGTAATAAAACGATCTGTTGCCTGACCCTTGTCATCTGTTGTTACAGTACAAGTGAATTTATACACAATTATTTTTCGTAGGGAATTAAAAGACAGTTGCAGCGAAGGAAATTTTCTTTTCGACGAAATCATCAACTAGGCTGTACATTCATGTATCATAATTACTGAGAAGATTGACATATTCTGTAATTAGGAGTTAGAAATCTAGGAATAACAACAATAGACAGGATGCTTGGATAAACAAATCTAG